AAGGAAGGAACAAACTTTCTAGGGAATAATGGAAAGAACACAAAACAAAAATACAAATGAAATACCTGTTTTATTATTTACATTATATTATGTCATCAGATATATTAGTTCAATTAACTGTAGGATAATTTGTTCGATTAATATAGAATGAGACACAGCATTTAATATACAACCTGAATTTCATTTTAAAGGCACATAAATTGATCATGGAAACTGACAAAGAACAAAATTATCTCAGTTAAGACTTGTTTTTGAAGTAATTCAAGATGTTCATGATGTTGTTTGATGCACATGAGTGAGATCATCTGACTGTGCCTGCCTGTGGTTTTCCCCACCAGCACCCATGGTATATAAAAGGCAGGTGACAGACAGTGACATCCAGACTCAAGACACCTACATCCTGATCCTGAACTGAACACTCCACTCCTGACAGCATGAGCTGCTACTATGGCAACTACTGTGGTGGRMTGGGCTACGGCTATGGTGGCCTAGGCTGTGGCTATGGCTGTGGCTATGGTGGCTGTGGCTATGGTGGATATGGCTGTGGCTATGGTGGCTGTGGCTATGGTGGTCTAGGCTGTGGCTATGGCTGTGGCTATGGTGGCTGTGGCTATGGTGGTCTAGGCTATGGCTATGGTGGCTATGGTGGCTATGGTTATGGATGCTGCTGCCCACTCTGCTACAGAAGATACTATTCCTATGGCTTCTACTGAGGCATTTCCTCAGCTCCTGGCCTATTGGCTTTAAGCTCCTGTCTCCCTGGAAACATCTCCAACTTTCTTCACATGAAAAATGTTTGAATGTCTTCAACAACATCAACTATATACTCAACTATCTAAGAAAAGCAAATGAAATCAGCATGCCTGTGTTGGTTCATTATTACCTCTTGGATTGTGATAGTTTGGAGAAAATATTTTCCTTTGATAATTATCCTTAAAACACTATGTAAAATCTGATTGAATTTGATTCACAACTACTGTATAAAAAGGTACATATACTAAATAAATTGTTATTCACTGAAATCATGGCTTTGCTACAGTTCTTCTAAATTGTCTCCATCAGTATAGCAGGTATAATTGTGTATTTGCATGTGATTAGTCATGTGTGTGTTTTTGTTTACCCAACTTGGGGAGAGAGAGTGTGTGTGCCCATGGAAGACAAAGCAAGCAGATTAGAGGTTTTCTATGGCCAACAGGGTCTTAAAATTAATAGGGTAAAATCATAAATTCTTTCTAATATCATACAAAATCTGTTTTTCTATGTTTTTTCATCTTTTATATACTCAATTTTTGCTTATATGTTTTTATCTCAATTTTTGCTTATATGTTTTTAAAATAGGTATTTTCTACAAAATAGTATTTTATCAGATTATTTAAAATTCTCTATATTTGTATGCTTTGTATTGTTTACATTCTGAGGAATCAGATGATATCAGCTGCAGATCTGCTTCTTTGAAATGTTTTTCAAATTAAAAGAAATGTGCGTGTGTGTGCATGTGCATGTGCGTAAACAGAGCTGGATACATGCAGATGTATATCTCCTGCCTAAACAATGACTGCAGGCTTCATCATATTGAAAATGTCAGCACTAATGATTATCTTCTAGATTACCATCATAGCAATCAAATAGCATTTCAACGAACATCAATTTATTCATCTCATTAGAAAAATATGTRTATTATGCATAGCAAGAAGAAATTTATCAAGAGTAGGAGATACTTTTTATGTTGTGTAACATTTGGGTGCTTTCTTTTTTACCCATAAGTCTCATCTTTATCAGATATATATGCCTACAAATGATAATTTTCTCAAAAATCAAATTGTTGCCACMCTTAAAGTCATTATGTTTCACTTGGGAAACAAACTGACAGCATTCGATGCAATGAAATGCTGATAGAGAAGTAARGAATAAGGAAATTGATTTCTTAATATGGCAAAAGTGTTGAAACAAAGGGTGAAATTCTGCAGTCCTCAAGTGTAGGAGCCAGGAGAGAGRCTGGTGTGACACAGAGCACCCAGCAGAATTCTAAGTCCATTTTTAATTTTTCTTGATTGGAAAAACAYAGGTGGAGACATAAAAGACACAATCCTTGTAAGGATGTGTGCACAGATGACTGAGTTTAATAGAGCCAGGTTTCTATTTTTGAGCTATTTTAGAAATTTAGGAGTTAAAGAATCAATTTCTTGAGACACAAAGTAGAACCATTTGACTAGGATACTGAAAATTATGTTCACATCAAGTTAATAAGAAAATRATCATTTAAATTAAGAGGAGCCATCTGTAATAGTTTATACAAAAACTTATCTCCTATAGGCTATACCAAAATAGGTAAATGGACCTTAACCAAAATTCAAAGAGCCTAATATCATGATAATCCTTATCTGAATTTAGGCAATGTGATCTTTTCTAATAGACCAAAGGAAACAAAAAGGCAACACAGCTCTCTATGGTGAAATATACTATTGTTCTGGGTCCTCTAAAATTTTAATAGAAAATGTTGAGCTTATGAAATCCTATAGAAATATGTAAAGGAAACAACAGAAAACAAAAGCTAATCCAAACATCAGTCACATATTTAAGTTTGTGTTAAATTTAGATAAATGTATCAAAGAATCTAACTTAAGGTCTAGTTACTTTCTAAAAATGCAAATGAATAATGTGGTAAAAATTTAAAAATTAGCTTCAGAAAAACAATGTGATATGCATAATACTCAATATATCATGCCTGCTCAAGAAACATTATTTTTTTGTTCCATTTCAAAGGAAAGAAAATTTGTTTTATTTTTTTTCTTTTTTAACACTAGGATTCTCTCCAATACCTTTTGCCACTTCTCAAATGCCATRACAACAAACCTTGCAATTTGAAGAAATACAGAGATAATAATAAATTTCACACAATACAATGTTTTAAATATGGTTGACACATGTTTATAACAATAAATGCCAATTGGTAGCTGAAAGAGGCTAGTAGACCTAAGTGAATTTCTCTCAGAATTCTCCAATGATCTGAATGAGAAGCATGGTAAAAAGCAGGTTTTTGTAATGTCTCTGCACCTAGTATTTAGTGACAACAAAGTCTAGAACTGTCAGGATTTGTGAGTCAGAGGACATTTGTGTTCAGTAACAGCAAATTCAGAGCAGAAGCTCCTTCCTCCTTACCAATCCCTCCCATGTCTACATTTAGAATAGTGAAACATAATTTAGATTTATCTCTCTGCTTGACTCTCTAATTCATTGAGCTGTCCTTTTATAAAAAGTCTAATTTACTTTGTGTAAATTACATTTMAAAAATGTCAGTAATATGTTAGCAAAAAAAATATTTTCATGACTATCTTTGTTCCCAGAATCACTCCATGTATGAGCCAAATATTGTGGAAACAAACAACCGGTTTCTGGACAGTTTGGTCGCTCTGAATAGTTTGTATCATCCACACACTTTTAAGAGACATGCCATCCCTGAACCTGCAAGGCACTTGTAGGACAAAATGTGACACCTGTTAAAAAAGCTATGAGCCCAATATGGAGGACACAACCTTACCTTAGAGTGTTTGACATCTGCATCTACAATGATCATTTGGGATGATGAAGGAAACCATGGAGCAAATATAATTTCTGTTAATGATCATGTATTTTCTGGAAAGTCTTAAATATAGATAAGAATAATTTACTAAGAAGAAAAGAAGAAAAGGAAAGAAAACATTTTTTTTTCTATTGAAGAATGGAAACAACACACAACAAAAATAAAATGAATTTCCTGTTTTCATGATTTACAGGATACTATATAATCAGATATATGTGTTCAATTAACTAAATATGGAATGGGATGCAGAATTCAAAATAGAACAAGAATCTCATTTTAAAGGCCAATAAATGGATCACAGAATCCTGATGTAGGAACAAAATTATCTCAGTTATGAGGCTTGGTTTTGTAATAATTCAAGATATTCACGACATTGTCTTGGTCACATTAGTGAGAAAATATGACCAAGCATTTCTTGTGGTTTTCCCCACCCAGCACTGAGGAGGTATAAAAGGCAGGTGGCAGACAGTGACTTCCAGACTCAAGACACCTACATCCTGATCCTGAACTGAACACTCCACTCCTGACAGCATGAGCTGCTACTATGGCAACTACTGTGGTGGACTGGGCTATGGCTATGGTGGCCTAGGCTGTGGCTATGGCTGTGGCTATGGTGGCTATGGCTATGGTGGCCTAGGCTGTGGCTATGGTGGCTATGGTGGCTATGGTTATGGATGCTGCCGCCCACTCTACTATAGAAGATACTATTCCTATGGCTTCTACTGAGGCATTTCCTCAGCTCCTGAGCCTATTGGCTTTAACCTCCTGTCTCCCTGGAATTAGCTTCAACATTCTTCACAGGAGAAATGTTTGAATGTCTTCAACTGTATCAACTATGTTTCAAACTATTTGAGAAAATAAACGAAATCAATTACCTATTTTGATATATCATTATCTCTTGGACTGTGTGATTATTTGGAGAAAAGCATTCTCATGATAATYATCATTATCACACTATTTAAAATGTGATMAGATTTGTCTATGTATAAAAATACATAATATGAAATAAACTGTATTTCACTGGAAATGTTGATGTGGTACAGTTCTATTAAGTTATCTCTGTGGGTGTGGCCTGTGTATTTGTGTATTTCCATGTGATTAGTCATGTGTATATGGTTGTTTATAGATATGGGGGAGAGAGACAATGTTCTTCTGTGGTAAATAAGGATCTAAAAATTAATGGGGAAAATATATTAAATTTTTCTAACATATTTTACAAAACAGTTTCTTATGCATGTCTTTTCATCTCTTCTACAATTACTCTTTGCTTAAAAGTTCTTAAAATGGCTATTTTTTGGTAATATTTTTATTTCACATGAGACAATTTAAAATTTTCTGTATTTTAATGCTTTGTGTTGTTAGCATACACATCAATCAGATGGTATCAGCTCCAGCTCTTCCTCTGTGAAATGTTTATAAAATAAAACATACGTGTTTGTGTGAGTGTGCATATACATATATGAGTATACCTGTATACATTCTGCCAAGGAAATTACTGTAGGCTTTATCATATCAAAAATGTCTACACTAATAATGAATTTCTGGATTACCATCATGGCAATAAAATTGCATTTCAAATTATATAAATTTATACTGCTATTTAGAAAGAATACACATATTATGTATAGCAACATGAATTTATCAAAACCCGGAGCTATTTCTGTTTATTAAATTAACATCGGGAGATTTTCTTTTTTACCTGGAAGTCTGGTCTTTGCGAAATGTAGATGCCTGCTATGCTAAATCTCCAAAATCAAATTGTTTCCACTCCTAAAAAAAAGTCATGTTTCACTTGGGAAACTGAAACTGACAGTGCTGGTGTGCTGATATGCTGATAAAAAGTAAGGAATAAAGGACCTGAGGTCTRAAGACAGAGAGTGTGGTGAAGAGTGAAATTTGACGTTCCTAAGAGTCAGGAAAGCAGTTGCTGTGACAACAAGTAGCCCAAGAATATAATTTTTAACTTTTTCAGGGCTGGCAAACCATAGTTGGAGCTGTAAGAGGACACATCTGGATGCGAATGTGCTGAACAACACTCAGCTTCACAGAGGTGCTTTAGAAACTCTGAAGTGACCTGGCTCAGTTTTTTGACATCACACAGAACTTCTTGAGAATTAGATAGGAATTTTGTCC